AGAACCTGCACAGAAATGATAAAGGGACACCACAGCACATCCACAATGGAGAATAAATGCAAACACATACACATTAATACACACATATAACACCACATACAGGTTTGACTGTAATTGTGTCATAATTGCAAAAAATTGATACTTCAGTACAAAAAAACTGCTAAACTTTGACAGTGTCATTTTTTATTATTACAATAATGATTTTATAATCTCTTGACATAAATCTAAATAAAAAACTTGTGAAAAGATCTATACCTATGTGGAAATGGCAAATGGGCCATTGAGTAATGCTCTAGAGCCATCTGGTGGCTGTAGTTGAAATTCCATGTTTTTCTAATTTTAAAAGTGTTTGGTTTCAAGTAGATGGAAACAATTTCCCATTATGCTATGGCACATTGGCAATGTTAGCCCCATGAATTAAAATTAGGAATGTGGGCCTTTTATAAAGTGTATTTTACATAAAATGTAAAAAAAAAAACAATACAATTTATTTATTTATTTTTTATATAAATTTAAAAAATACCATAAATCCTCCCAAAACTGCACAAATGTAGAGTAAAAGCATTAATAAACGGAGTAAAATTACATTTGTTTTTAAAAACATTATCATCACATTTTGTTGTCTGGGGTCTCTGGAGACCCCAAACAGCACGAGTGTATACCCCAAACGAACAGTGCATAAGGGTTAATGCTTTTAATTTCAGTTATTTTAGTACAAGTTTAGCTGAAATAAAGTTTTTTATGTATTATTTTTTATATACATTGTAGTTTATTTCAGTTCAAGTAACATTTTTTAAATGGTTTTAATTTTAGTTATTTTAGTACATCAAGTTAAACTAGCACAAAAGTTTATATATTTATTTCATTTATTTAAATTTTTTTATGGTTTTAGGTTTAGGTTTTAGGTTATGTTTTAGTTTCAGGCTTAATTGTAGTTATCTATAATAACCCTGGCTCCACTTCAAACCAAAATGTCAAAAATCACAATTAAAGCATTACAAAAGTAGTAAAAATGACTATTATATGTTTACTCTATTCTGGTGTTCTATATGCTATATTCTAGTATTCTTCAGCAAAACAGAAAAAAAAATGTCATTAAAATCAAAATTGGTCTGAATGATTTGTTTATAAATTTGGCTGTTTCTATGAGTTTGAAAGAAAATGAGAAAATGGTAACAGAATTTACATTTTTGTATGAACCATTCATTTATGAACCATCATTCATTCATTTATCAATCAAATATAGTGTTGTGGCAAATATGTGTTGTGAAGACATGATTGTGTCCTTTATGCCTCTTCTTGTGATGAAAGCATGTGTTGTGCTTGTTAGTGCCCAATTTAATGTATAGATGGGTTGTACTGGGTTCTAGTGCTGGCAGAGTAGAGGGTGTGACATGAACAAAACCTGATGATCATCTTCTCCAGCAGAATTGAAAAATGATCCAAAGTGCATCTTGAGCCTCAATGAAAGGAAGAACATCTGATCATTTTGTCTTAAATTTAAATCTAAGGCTGTTTTTAACATCATTTTATGATGTGTACATCAGCTTCTCCTTCTTTAATCGTATTTTGTAGCGCATTGAAACAATCCAGCAGCGTCTGTGGACCAGCTTGAACTGAGTGAGGTTTTTTTTCCTGGCTCTCTGGTTCCAAATTATGCATGCAGCTAAGTAGTTAATCAGATATATATCATCAAGGGAACATTAAATTCATCCAAATTGACCGTTATGTTACAACAGATTTCTATTTCAAATAAATGCTGTTTTCAATTCAGTCTATTCTTTCTATAATTTCTCAAAGAATGTATCACCGTTTCAACAAGAAAAAAAAGCAGCACAACTGGTTTCAAAATGTATACTAATAAGAAATGTTTCTTAAGCAGCCAATCAGAATTGTAGAATGATTTCTGAAGGATCATGTGACACTGAAGACTGGAGTAATGATGCTGAAAATTCACTACAGGAATAAATTACACTTTAAGCGATATTATAATAGAAAACAGTTATTTAAAATTGTAATATTTCAAAATATTACTGTTTTTACTGTATTTGTGATCTTTAAAACTCATGTGATTAATGCTTAAAACAAGTAATATACATTTTATAAAATTAATTCCAGACATTCTCTGATAAGTTTTCTGAAAAGTAATTTTACCTTGTTTTAAAGATTTTAATTAAGGTTTTAAAGACATGGGGCCTATTTTTTAACGATCTAAGTGCATGGTCTAAAGCGCACGGTGCAGGTGCACTTAGGGCGTGTCCAAATCCACTTTTGCTAGTTTAACGACACATGCAATGACTATCCATTATGACATGTACACTGAAAAAAATGATTCACTGAATTTGCTACATTTTTTTAAGGTAAGTGGTTGCAATCAATTTATTTTAGCTACATTTAAATAAACAAATTTAGTTGACTAACTTTCAACTAAACTTTGCAACCACTTACCTTAAAAAATTTAGTAGAACTTTTTTAGGCAGTTTTATATTTATGTAGCCTACACAATAATAATCTTTTACATTGCAATCCTTT